GCTAACCATGTTTCTATATTATTTGCCTCTTTAATGTTTTACCAACACGGAGACGTTGGCGAGCGTCCGAGGAAAATTGAGTAATATGTCAACGCAATAGATACTGAAACACAAATGGGACACACAAAGAAACTAACTTTATTTTGTAATCTACATAAGCATTCACTATCAGCTACGATGTATTTAATAGGGTGATCTAATACGGTGACAGGATTATGTGGATGTATTAACCATAAGGTTCTTACATGACCGTGAGAGCTGCCTCGGAAAATCATAAAAATAAAAGATATGTCTGTCTAAAAGGAGCGGACAGGAATACCATTATCATCACAAAAATCACGTAAACATTGAAAAACACGAATCCAGCGTAATTCTAAGTGTTGGAACAATACCACAGTCGTTAGCAACGAATGCATCGCCTAGAAATCATTCGAACACGCAGCCCCGCGGTAATCACTTCGGCGTAGCTGACCCAAAACGCGGCTCGCTACCATCGCAAGCGAATCACGATTCAACAAAAATGTCTAATATTTTTCCCGTTCAATTCCGACGAGCCAATCGGGCCAAAATAACAGTTATATGCTCCTGATGTACTATGTTATCAAAAGAAAAATCTACAGTCTACTGGAACTATACACAGGCATGCTGAAACATGACACCCCTTTAAAGACACCTTTCATCTCTTTCCAGCGACTTGTGAAGCAACATAACAGGTACACAGTGACTAACCATGAACCCCTAACAATGTGGACAAATGACATGGCTAGGATGTTGACTTAGATCTGAGATCAAGGGATCCTCAGTAGTGTGCTCCCAACAGTTCCTTTTTTGGAACTTCTTATGGTAAAACATTAACGTTTTCAACTATGGTGGACGCTGCTACTGTTGCAGAAATCTCTCAAGCTCGATCGATAAAGTGTAACAGCCCCACAGAAGACCGAAGGTCGGTTTGACACTATATTATATATTGACGTACACCAATGACATTAACTTAAAACTTAGCGACTTGACTTAAACTTAAATTGACTTAAAACAAAGCGGCATTCACGAGTACCAAACCGAACAACAGATCGTCTGTCCGCTCAATGTCTTTTATGCTACAAAATCACAAAATGTAAACAGGCGTAAAATTATAATTTGCTTCAGCGATTTTTACGCATACCGATTAAAACTACATAAAATTTATTCGCAGGCAAAAAGTAAAAAAACAACAATTATTTGTTACAAACAACGGACATTGCATTTTATAGGCGCGCCGTTTCATGAATTAAACACATCGGAAACGTTATAAATGTATACGAATGCTATTTCAACGCTAAATAACGTGATAAACAGAATCCCTAGGCGGGCCTCGACGTCCGTGCAACAATATCGCAATATGAAAAGAAACAGGGTGTAGTTTTAATTGCGCGTTGAACGCGTGAAGGAGCGCAATTTCACAGCGCCGACATTTCCACGTCCGGGCGTGTCGCGATCCAATAGAGGTGTTCGACTACAAACAAATTCGATATATCGATATACTGCTCGTTATTTGCTGCGAGTTAATGCAGATTAAAATGATTGTTTTGGATCCCTTCAATCCTTTTTTCTTTATTAGTGTGAACCCTGATGACTATAATACATTTACATTTATATCGATATCGAGTCATCCTTATAGACTAAACATAGATTTTGGTTTATAATAAGAGAAATAATTAAGGATAAAAAAACAACGAGGTGAAGTCAAAATGAAACTGATATTTTGGATGAGAGAAATTAAATTGATGATTTGGAGAAGTTTTGATTGATATTTTAGCAGTAAAAGAGTGCAAATTCGAGGAAAGATTGAGCAAATGTGAGGAGTGCCTATCGGCTGGCAAGTACATAACAAGACAGTTAAGAATGAATACATAATAAAAAAAGGAACGGAAAACAATACACAAAAAAACTTCGTCAAGATAAAGTAAAAGTTATTTGCAGGGGCAAAACATGTCTATCAATACTCTTCTACATTACAATAATACAGTACGAGGTAAAAACAAAAAAATTTTGTCCCGACATGTACATCTTTGCTGCAGGTAATTATGTTTAATGCAGTATAAGTAGTTGCGTTAGCACGCCATTGCATGATACCGATATGAATTATATAAGTGAAACATCAAACTTTAGGTCAATGGACCTGAAAAATGAAGAATGAAAAATAATTAAGTTCAGAATAAGCGCTAGCTTGGACACCAAGGAGAACTAGGTTCGGTGGATTTTAGTACCTACTAAAGTATCTCTGTACTAAAATCCCACCATACGCCCGCTAAATCCACATTTATCAAAATACCACACGTTTCAAGATGAGCGCGTAAGAAAAGCATGACAGTAGCATTCTAAACGCGAATTAAGTTACTGTCACTGATAATATTCCAATTTAGGAAACCCCTCAATATATTGATACCAAAACTCAATATATACATGTCTGTCACACATAATCGTAATATAGATTAACACTATAAATTGTTTAAATATTTTCTCGTATAAGTAATTTGGAATCTTTAGAACTGCTGAACCGATTCTGCATAAAAATACTTAACGCAAGTTAAGTCCGTTTTTTCTGAGCTAAAGAATTGAGCTTTATGCCATTCACCAGTCATTGACTATGATTAAATGACAACAATAATGTATTCGAATAAAATTTTATCGAAAAAAACTCAGCATGAGATTTATCGGGCGATCCATCGATACCGCAATATATTAGTTGTGTTAGAAACAAGTCTATTGGAACATTCCGGAAGAGGGCGGGGGCGTGGTCGCTTCAGTAATTCCTAATGTTGCTAGCAACGCTAACGTTTTCGTCCAGTGAAACATTGAGTAGTATACGAATCCAAACGGAGCTGCAACAACTGTTCAGCCGTTAATGGCATTTTGCTGTGAATTGCATGTGATTGAAACAAACACTCGTATTCCCTAATATATATATATATATATATATTTATAGGTTAAACTACAATAAAATAAACCAACCGCGATAGTGTCAATTCAGTGGGATGATCTGGATAAATTATTTGAGCGAAATAAAGTTATGGGTAGTATCAGTGCGTGTGATTTTATTGGCTGGCGAAAAGAGCCCTTCCCAGTAGGACAAATGCTGACGAGCCAAAGTCCTGTTGAAGTTATATGAAGCCCTCAAAAGGTATTTTTGTCTAATATTGACTTTCCATTTTAAATCAACGATGGAAGTCTATACTGTGATTCCAGCAACCTGGGTCCAACTGTCAGACTAAATAAGTTGGGTAAAAAGTGGATATGCCGTCTCTCACTTCTATCTATCTCTTTGGGGTGAATTCGAGCATGAGTTTTAAGTGTTTTAAGTGTTTTGTGTCCATAGAACGTACAATATATCGTATCTGTTGTTAAATAGTGTAATGTAAATAAAGACCAAAACCAAAAGAAGTTACGCGATTGTCTTTATTTTAAGTATTGAACGCACAAAATTATTTCAAAGCTATCGTTTAGGTAGCACCAAATGCACTAAAATTCCTAATGACAGGCATGCTGTTTGGGCCGCATTCGAGGCGATTTAAATGAGTTGTTCGTTCTCCGTTTTTTTATTGAGCACTGCGTTAATACGCCGGTACTTCCCGTTTAACTCGGACACTTTTTGCTCATTAATTCCGTTTTTACCCATTTTCCATGCTAATGAACAAGTGTATGCATGCAAAATACCGCACCGCTCCCTCGGAATATAATTCTCGGAACGCTTAAAACCCGCAAAAACCAACTGCATTTCCGCTTCTATTTCTTTTATGTGTTCAGAAAAAGTAGTAATAATAATTTTTATATAGTCTAGGTAATAAATACAATGAACGCTAAAATATTTTAATTCCTAACTCCCATCTTAATCGCTATAACCCTATTATTGACTAATAAAAGCGTATAATGTAGCTAACTTTCTCATAATTTAACGGCTTCTCTAGTGAATGCTCCCTTAGTGCGAATAATTCACAGCAACGTAACAACAAAAAAAATCGTAGCATCAAATAATTCAGGGCGTCGAATGCGGTTCACAGCGAATATTCAATGACTTATCGCGCTCAGCATTGCCACACCGAATAATATCACACGCAAGCCGGGCAATAGTTGTAAAAACTCGATATGGTCCTCCAGCCGATGCAACAGGCCGCATTCAACGGCATATCATCAAATCAAACTAACCGCAATGGCGACGTTTGCGCCTTGCGAAACCGTTGTGGCGCACTAAAACGGAGCATCGGCGGGGGCCTCTGAAAACCGAAGGGTCCAATTTGACGCTCGATTTGAATATGGCATCGACTCCCGCGCAAAGATCTGTATCAGTTAATTGATCTATTGATTCGTCCCTATCCGATTAGAGCGGAGAAATCGCTGGCTACCGACGGGTTTAGTTTTCAGTTTCGATATTATTATCGCAATTGATATCACTCGATCCCATCTAGTGATCCAAACAAGTTGGATCAGAGCCGATCCAGTTCAATAAACAAATTATAGAAAACCAAAAGCTGTGCGTAAATAACACTCCTTAAAGCAGATATCAAGAAAACTCAAAATATATGATTTCAGTAAGTTTCTATACATTTTTCTGTTCATGCATCTGTTGATGGTATAAGATAAAGGTAAAATAAATAGAATTAGACTTAAAAATTTAAATTTCAATAAAACTAATTAACGGATTTTATCGCGCCTTCGTTTTATTTTATAACACTCGACGTTTCGAATGCTTAACAGCATTCATGGTCACAGGCCGTGACAATAAAGTCAAATAAGGACCACATAATATTAAAGTTCCGCGATCTAAGCTACATAACGTTCTTTAATTAATTAAGGAAGGATTGCATAGAATACAAAGCTAAATAAGCTTATCTTGCCCCGTCACTTATGCCCCTTCTGAGCTTGTTACATTTTGCTCAATATGCAAAGGGAAAAAATTAATGAACATACATTTAGGAACATTTCAATGAAAGAAATGAATATAATTGCGTGAATTCTCTTCCTACCTCCATCGAACTGGGCAGCATGACGCTTTCGCGGCGCCCCGCGCCCCCGATCTCATCCTGAAAAATAAAATAAAAGTAAATTGAAGTTACAGCCTATACATGTAAAAATTGCTGGGTAAAAGTCTCCTATTTACCGAGGGTACTAGGATATAGTCCATCACCTGACCGCACTGCGGCTTGACAGACTTAACATATCTTCGAAATACCATTTTGAAAATATGCAAGTTTTCTCTCGATATTTGCTTCACCGCTAGGCTGGTAATAAGTAAGCATTCAAAATGAACAATTTCATTGGTGATCGCACTGGGATTTGAACACAGGTTGCTCGAGTATATTAAATTAAAAGCGAGCATCCGGGTGCTCGTGCTTTGGTTTTTTAGAGTCGTGATAGGTCAGTGAGCTAAAATTAAAAAAGCTAAAATTAAATGAGTTGAATTAAAAAGTAACGCATTTGCAACCCTAAGGGTATTTTGCAATTGTCCATGGGCGGCGGTATCACTTAACATCAGGTGAACCATCTTCTTACATAAAAAAACCTTTTAAGTATATTGTTTTTCACGATAGAAACATTCCTACTTTATCGGTCAACTAAGGCCTCTTGTGAGAACCTCCATGTAAGGTAAAACGCCAAAAAAGGCAGTTGTCAAAAGAGTCTTTAAGTTGAGATGCAATTTGCATTCAGTAAGGCCCAGTCTTTTTGATGAAACGTCAGTTATGGCATTTCTTTCCATTTTTGGAAGTTATATTTAACGTGAGATTACTTGAAGACTAACATGAATCCAAAAGTGCACTTAGTAAAGGTAGGGTGTTTCGAAACTATTACCAAAGAACGATCTGATAACCACTGCTCGACCACTTTAATAAATTAAATGATAAATGTCTCAAATTAATTCTAGCAAATTATAATTATTACAGATGTTGTGATGGTAGTACCAGGTAAAATAAATGGTAAAATTATGTAAACAAACTGAACGGGACTTTAAGAGGAGATGGAGGTCATTTTATAGGTTAGGAGCGAGCTTGACTTTGATGTATTTATGCAACAAACCCAAGTTTAACTAATGTTTTATAATGAATAATAATGAAACAATCTACAACAATACTTAAACGTTAACGTTAAAGACAAATTTGACATATTTTTGATTCATGATAAATAACTCAGTGATGAAGTGAACTCAACTAATGCTTAAAAGAGACTCACTTCAATAAAATTAATTATATTTTAAGTTAAAAAAAAAAAACTTGACTTCTCTGTCATGATAGACGTTTGAGCATAAAATACAAAACTTCATCGGGCACAGAGTTCGTGAAAAGGCTAAATCCACTAGCTTAATGGCTCATCAATTTGACTGTTGCTAAAAACTATAGCAATGGCACGGTAAGACTGGTGATTTTAAATCTCTTTTATTCTGGATTGGACACACAGCAGTTGTAGGTGGTAAACGCAATAGCTTTATTGAAGCTCATTCGCTCTTCTCTTTAAAGTTCCCGCATTGTATGCTGACGATAAGATCACTTATCTTCTCTGCCGTCTGCCGTTAAAACATTTAGCACGATTATTTCAACTATCTGGTCTCTGGGTCTCTAAAAGTCGACGGACCTGGCGCCCAAACGCCACGACGTTATTAATGACAAAAATAACGCCATATACATTGGTATTGGACAGTTGGATAAAAACATTTCTGTATTGTCACTTATGCGCTCTTATAAGCAATCTAGTGCCAAACGACATGACTGTAATCGATGTTAGCCGAAGACGAAACCGGGGAAGCGGTTCGAAGCAAAAAATCTGAAAATATTAACTAAATAAGGAAACTACACCGATTAACTTTGTAAGCGCTTCAAAGAGTCGCTTTAATCGCTCCTCAACTTGTCAATTACCGCTAACAAGACCACAGACGTAAATTATAGACAGATAATTAACGGGAGTTTCATAGCTAAATGCCCAGATTATATATAAAAAGAGGGTTTAAAGATGCCGTCAGGCTATTTAGATCGCAGTTAGGTTAACGGAAAGGAAGGTTCGCTTTAATAATGAAGCAAATAATTATACCTTATTATATTACTTTTTAATCTTTTTCTTATAAGTTTTTTTAGTATTATAATATATTTGATCGGTATCGAATCGACATAAATTTCTTGATAAACTGAGTGTCGAGTGTTATAAATATTAATACTTAAGATGTTCTGAACGAAATTGTTCATAGAAAACTTATGGAATATAACATCGCATTCATCTGTATATTCCGATTTCATTGTATTTGTAAATTTGGAGAGATTAAATCCACATATAAATTTGCCACAAATCAGACATGTTTTAAATACCTAAAAGAGTGATTTACTGATTGAATACATTATAATAAAAATCCAGGAGAAACTGATTCTAGCACGATAGCGTGTTATTAACTAGTTCCTGCACATCATTGACATAATAATTTAAGACATAACATGTAAAAATAAGTGATTGTATGTACTTATTTCTGTAACAGGCTTAGAAGTTGTATATGTGTAGCTTCCAAAAATTTTGATTGCACTTATTTCTTCAACACAGCTCGAAGACTTTCTTCTATAATGTATGCATTAAGACTTTTTTTCTAATTTTTACTCTGTTGAACGATAAGAAGGTCTCCTGTTTCTCTTTTGCCTTTTTGTTTTTATTACTTGACAATACTTTATTATATAAGTATCTTATAGTATATTTATTATTAACCTTAATTTAGAAAATGGAAAACAAAACCACGTTTGATTACAATAGTACTGATAAGAATCAAATCTATTACAGTGTAATTACTTGCATTTGCTTCTACGAATGTAAGCGCTACAGACAACATTTCCAACTAGATATTTAAGACACTTCCGACGGACAATGGATCGCTCGCGTGGGCTAACGCCCACTGTTCAGATGATATAAGACACTTAACAAGGCTTGATGATCACTGACTTAAACGATACAAATATTATGTGGTCATTCTGTCGTTTTTAAACGGTTTTATTTAGCTCGACCCGTACGGAATTTGTTTGTTTGGGTCAAAATTAGAAATTGAAATTTAAGCACCTTGCCGTTGTCAGATTGATCTGAAATTTGGTACACACATTGTGGTACCTTACGAACCTATACACATAATCTTTGATGTAAAATTTGACGATTCATAAGAGCGCGTAAGCGTCTATTTGAATAAATATATATTTTTTTTGAATTTAAATGACAATACAATATTAACAAAAAAATTTTTAACAAAAACATAAAATAAAACCGTTTAACTTAAAAGTTTTAAATTTATGAGAAAGGATAGGAAATAAGCAGGTTATTGGCGATATTCATGGACAACAACAGCACAGGGCCGCAGGTTAGTTCGAGGGGTGGTCCGTAGTTACTTTACCAACTAGACGAAACGTAGACGTGGTATGTACTCGCTTGGTCTTTGAACCACACACAAATAGTGCTAACATACTAAACCTACACGTGCGTACATAAGTTGAAAAAGTTTTTTTTCCTTCGTCTTCGCCTATAAATGAATATGAAGCGGATGACGGGTAGGTAACAATTCCTCCAAGAATAGGCGCACTCGTGAGCACATGTGCAGCTCGAACAAACGTGGAGGGTCGTATAAAGGACATCGGATTTGGTACCACAATCTTTGAATACGATAAAGCTTTAAGTCTACGTAATGGCAACATCATTCAGTAACACTTTTGAAGAATGTCGAAATTCGATCTGTTCGCTATACGAATTTCGAAATTTTCGGATTCAGATTCGAAACCTAAATAGGAGTATATCACGTCGAAGAGCGAGGGGACAAATGCGTAACGCAACATTCGCCGAATGTCCGACGGGCAGTGAAAGCAAAATGTTAAGTTCCCACGATACAGTTTCGGCTAGGGTTGGTGATTGTGAGGTACTGTATTTGAATTGGCATGTTCCTTAAACAGATAACAGAAACACACAAACTTATGTCAAAACAGAATACAAAAAGATTGTAGCATACATATATAAATCATACACATTCAAACAGTGAAACATAATAAATAACATCACGTTACTGCTACCATGTATGTGTTATTGTATAATAGGGAGTACATCACTACATAGTATAAAACAAAGCGGTCCCGCTGTCTATCTGTCCCTATGTATTCTTAAATCTTTAAAACTACGCAACGAATCTTGATACCGTTTTTTTTACTTAATAGAGTGATTCAAGAGGAAGGTTTATGTATATATATTACTTGCACCGTACAAGGCCAGGGCGGGTCGCTAGTCTATATTAAAATGTTTTAGACTATAATAAGTACATAGTTTATTGTGAAGAAATATTTAACTCTTTCTTCGCTGTTGTATTATTAATGGGAAGATCGGTCCGGGGAAGTAGTAGCACGACCCCACATACTTCCGCGTTTTGTCTGGTGAGTAAGGTACCCGGGGCGCACTTTATTAAAAGTTGGCAACACATCTGCAATCCTATCGGTATTACAAATGTCCCTGGGCGGCGGTTATCACTTGTACGGCTGTTATAACAGTTAAAAAAATATATAATTTTAATTCTGATGTTGCATTGGTGACCTGACAACCCTATTGTGCGTGTTAGTTCGCACGCGTCCCGTCTCACTTTGTGACACCAAAACAGACAAGGACAGCTGTCGTCCGACTTATCCGACGATCTGCTCCGCAAACTATATTATTATAATGTGATTTCCTTTCTCTTGGGATCGAAAAAGGTATTGATGTGCCTTCTTTAATAGATAAAACATTAAAGTATGCGTGGGAAAACCAAAAATTGGTTAAGTATACAAAACCAACACATTGCCTTAATGAAAACTTTTTTTATGTCATAATTTCTCAAGCGGTCGATTAACCTTATGTTAAATGAATACCACCAGCTATGGACTCTTACACGATGGCTTTCTGATGTGTTGCCAACATTTAAAAATGTTATCTCACTCACCAGACGTAATGCGAGTTTTTTTTTATGTGACAGTGGCAAACGAGCTGGCGGTTCACCTGATATTAAGTGATAACCGCCGCCCATGGATATTTGCAACATTCGTAGGGTTGCAGAAGC